GATAACCTTCGCCGACGGCCAGTTCATAGATCGCGAGATTGGTGTAATGATATTCAAAAGTCATGGGCACTGATCACTATCAGCTACCACTAACTTCCCGTCAGGGTTCGCCGCACGACAGACTTACCTGTGAGCATATCAAGCGGGAGCTCTTTACGCCACGATAGCATACGGTTGTCAAACCACCTCAGAACGGCCTGAAGGCGCGACTCTGTCAGTGGCGCGGTTGAACTGGTATCGTCGAGACCGAAGGAGGCCATCGACTCATCCACTATTCGCTGAAGATCGAACCAGGTTGCCATATGCCTATCTACTGCATTTGGTGATCGCTCCAAGTGCTTCACGCACTCAGCCATCCAGTCATTGAATAAGAGCAAATTCGGTCGGCGCGTTTTCATCGCAACGCTGTATATCGGTTAGCAAAACTGCATCTGTTTGCACGAACACTTGCCTTACATAGATGTCAGATGATAGCAGTACAGTATCGTCCTAGCCTGTTCCGCCATTTGCTCGTCATAAGTGGCCCTTTTGCTTGCTCTGCGATCGTTGGTTCGGTCTACGCGACGCTTTGAGGCCAATCCAATCTCCAACGCCATTGTAGCAGCAATGTGCGTGTACTGATAAAACTGCAGCTTCAGAGGCGAGTCGGGCGGGTGATAGAAGACGATCATGATTAGCAATGCCTGCACCAACTCCAAAGATTTATCTCCATTGATGAAGAATCGCTCCGCATACACTCGGATGATCTCCCGGTTCAGAATGGCAGCCAACTGGCCATCCAGAGCAACGCTCGCTGCAGCGACAACGGACAGGAATAATACCGGCGCTGAATTGCGCAGTTGAGTGGCAGTCGTATGCGGGGGCAACACCACTATCGGCGCAAAGGCCGTGAGTTCGGTCACATAGAAGGCGACCAACTCATTCGCATACTCGAGAGATAATACGCCTCGATCGATGACATCCTCCCTCGGCGTTGCATCGTATGAGTAGGGGGCTGGCGCTGGATTGGTGATGGGGGCATTCACAGGACCACCATCATAGGTATTTGGATATGGAGACGTTGATGGGAAGCTGGGTGAGAAGTCCATGGGTCGAGCCGAATCTGCCCCGCTGCTATGGTCCTCTGCGATAGTGGAGATGGCCTCGCTGGGTTCAGCGGCCAATTCAGGCTCCCGGGAGTCCTCCCTTTCACTGCTCGCACTCTCTGCACTGCTTTCATCAACTCGCAGCCTATCTTTGAGGAGTGATCGCATCTGTCGCATCTCCTTTTCCAACTGGGCTACCCGGGAATCGGTTCGCTTACGCGGCCGCCGCCTCTGGGGTGCTACAAAGACGCAGGTTCTGTTTGCTTTCGCGCATCGTTGACATTGATTGGGAGTTGAGGCATCGGGTAAGCATCGGACTTTCAGGCCGCGACAAGATTCACAGGAGCGGTTCAATTGCGGGGTCGCGGCTGGTTGAAGCGCGAGGTTTGAGTCGCCCGGGAGAATATTAGGTGTAGTCGACATCTTTTAGCCCCCACGTTTGCTCTTATCGTGCTGCAGGATATCTAGATTAGAGGCGATCGACAGTAGCCTAGAAAAACAGGGATCCGAGGGTGAGGTAATTTCTAGAGCGGCACTCGATAAATCTCTTAGCAGGTGTTCGCAATGGGCCTCATTCTTCTCAAAGAGGTCGTGTCAAACTGATCAATTGGGAAGGCTTTAGGCACAGGTATGGAGGAGTGGTGTCAAGGTCTCCATTATCGGTGCCGTGAATCACAATGATGGAAATGGGATCAAAAGACACCTAGACAAGTCAGTCGCAAAGCCCAGGCTGGACTACTGCAATCAAGCGATGCTAGTCAGAATCAGCAATCACATACCTAGAGCGCACGTTTATTCATGGAGGACATCCAATTGGATGCCTAGCGATAAGGATTTCTGCACAAACCGCCATGTACCCCAGACAGTGATTAAGGTGTTTCCCAGGGTCACTGATATGCAGCTGAAGAGTGCAGCTGGAACAGTGGGACTCGAATTCAAGCCTCAGTCATGTGAGGCTCCAGCCTCCAGCTAGTCTAGTAGCTACTCTACTGGGGGGTGGGTGGGAGTGGAGAGAGAGGGGGGGGGGACACAAGAAATCCCCTGGCCTTCTTGATCAAACCATGAAGGCTGATAACCAGTGTCTTTCCCTCTGAGGAGACTTGGCGAATCCTCTGTGCAGGTTAGTGCAGTCGTTTTAGTCAAGTTGTCTGTTTGGATGACTGGAAAGGCGGAAGTGGAGAGACAAGATCAACTAGTCTAGATCAAGAAACACCCGGGGAGCACTAAGCAGTGGGCACTGTATACATGCTCTTAATAGAGTCAAGTTATTATGAGAGACCTGGGTTTGATAGGCTATCTTCAATGAAAAGCAGCAATGATACTCGAGGTAGTTCAGATGCTATTTACGTTGGAAGCATGATATCGTAAACCGTACAAGCAATGAGTAGGTCAATCAGGGGAAGACAATTGTTGGAAGCAACTTCAAGGTTACCTAGTATCGAAACGATTACCCCTCTAAAAATCACACAGCAAGTGTAGACTAAAGAGAAACTGAGCAAGGAGTTCTCATTGGAGGGGGCTAAGAACATAATCCAACTATAGTTGATAGAATGTCAAACTTGACGAATCACCGTCGTTTTTATCCGTGCTACTAAATTCGGACCCTCAGAAAAAGGTCCAGTCCTTCCAGTCCTTGCACTCCCTGCTGCCCACGGGCAATTAATCCGCCGACCCTGAGGCTTTTCCTCGTTACCTCCCTAGGAAGCAGATAAGGTAACTTGAAGCCGTGCGGTCGACCTAGATGAACTATGAAGAGTCGAGTAGAAAATATGAAGTAATTCAACTGGCAATCCTGGTTGTGCATTCATCTACCTTCTAGAATACAAGTTCTTCTGCAAGACTATGTACTGTACCTGGTAATATTGATTAGTCTTACTTCAGGTAGCATGGAGTAATGTACTTGCCACAGGACCTCGACCACTCCATAGCTCAGAGTTATGGATCTGGATTATGATACTATGATGATGGAGTTGTGCTGATGGTCGCATCCAAACCAGGATATGTACAGCACTTGAAGTTCTTCTCCAGAGCAAACCACTTTAAGACCAAACGAACTCGAAAAAACGAACTCGAAAAGAGAGATAGAGATTAGTGGAATCGGTGTACGCAATGTGACGACTGCCAATGTTGTATGAGCCCATGTCCGCGCAAGGATGCTTTTGTGTATCCTGTATGGAAGGACGCCAAGAGCGGCGCTACGATAACAAGTCGGCGGTACGAGGTACTGTACAGTACACTCGATACCTGGCAGATTGGATGGCTGTCATGGGCTCTATACAAGCATTTGGGGGCTTGCCAAGATATATCCGGGGCTTGCGATCCAGGACCGATCTCCCAAAATGTCAAAGCTGGAGGTACTGGCAATTGTCTACGTTTAAACGGTTGTAGCTACTCTTCGACTCCACAACTCAAAGCTTACGTGGATCACCGCATTTCGGTGTCGCAGAAATAATGACTACCTGGCCTTCTCAAGTTAGGGCGTTGGGCTGCGCGTGCTCATGCGAGGGGAAGATGCCTGGCAGGATCGAGGAACGCAAACACTGTGATTAGGCCAGTCATCAAGCTTTACGGAGTAGCATCTGGAGCGAATCTTCAGCGGACCATCGGAGGATAGTCCTTTGACATGTCCGACATTTCTGAATGAGACGAGATGAGCAACAATTGTGGAGGTCTAAGCACATCTGAATCGGAGACTAGTCTGCAAAGAACCAGATCATGTCTGTCGGCCAGACCCTCAAACCAACCGCAAGCATAGTGCAGATGTTGCTGTACTATGTAGGCTTGGAGAAGACTGACTGACTGACTGACAACACGGGTTCCCCTTCGTCATGTGGGGAAATCCCCCACTTGGATCCCGGAAAGATTTTTTGCATTTCCAGAGCAGCAGCGGCAGCAGCGTGGAGAATCCATGAATCAGGTCCTGACTTGTGATGAAGTAAAAGGCAACAGCTGTCAATCCCCAACTCCCGATCAGAGACCCCTATCTTTCGATCCCGTGTTTGTTTCCGGCGAAAGAGGCCAGTTGTCACGCGCGATTGAGGAGGGGGAAATAGTGGTGGTTGAGAGGTGAAGAAATTTGGTCAACGAAAATGTCGGGCTTAGACTATGACGCGGCCCCAATCTTCTGGGTTGAGATACCGAGACCGAGCCCCCCAGCCGCTATTGAAAAAAGCCAAAGGAATGGCTAGGCGGTGTTGCTTGTTGCCCTGCTATTGGTGACGACCACCGCCTGCTGACGCCATGGTTCCTCCAGCACGGGCGTCGTACGTAGCACGGTGATATGAGATAAATTGGAAGAGACGTACAAACGTACAATACATACCCCACGTCTGTATGCTGTGTCTGCACTTCGAGAAAAGGAACAATCGCTTTTGTCGTTGTTTTTCGCTGACCTCGAAACCCTCCCCGAGCAAGGAATGGAAGAAAAATAACTGTGAAAAGTAAAAAAGTGAGCCGGATCGGCGCGGTAATTCCATCCCCCATCGCCAAGGCTGGCAAGGCTGTCTGTTGCGTCTGCGCCGTCTGGTGCCTGTTACTCTTCTGTGGTGTACTGCTGCCGCCCGCCCGGTTCTTGCCCGTCGCCACCATCTTTAGTTAGTTGGTTAGTTAAATAATCGGATGGAACGGTAACGACAGTCAGGAAATTTGGGTAAGTTGGTAATTGCGCACGCGACCCCCTCGTCCTTCTCTTACGGTCTTTACTATTCTTGTACGCATATTCCCTGCCGATCCCGGGCATTGTGGATCTGCTCATTCTCTGTCGTCGTCTCCGACCTTGTATTATTATCCATTATTATTTGGTTGTGATCCTTGCCCTTTCAACGTCCTGTTCTTTTTCTCTTCCTATGCTCTTTCACAACTCGACTTCCCTTCTGACATATCATTCCATTCGAACTGCATCCCCTGTCTGGCTGCCTGGCCTTGTCATCCTCCTGAAAGCATTTCTCTCTTGGTCGCCGCGCTCATCCCTAGAAGTGACATCGGCACTGCGATCCCGCCCATACCGTATCATCACCAGTCTCCCCCCCAGTCCCACGTCCTTATCTCCGGGCTTGTGCAACATAGGGTCAGAGCATGCAGTCGCCTTCTTGAATCGAACTTGATTGAACCATTTCTACATATATATATATATATTCTTTAAATATATATATTCATATACGCTCACATTTAGACGTGCCGCACTATGTGGTTTTCGACGCCCCGGTTACTCGCCGGACTTTATGGGTTATCACTGGCTGTCGTGGGGTCATCCGCTGTCGATGTTGATTTCATGAGCGTGAGGCCTACTGTGGCCAAGGAATACTCTGGAAAAGGGGGAGAACCAGGTCCAAAATATTTCAGTAAGTTTTGGTCCCGTCATATCGAATCGCGCCGATTCGCAGGCTTCCCGTAATTAGCTGAGGTGCATGCTGACTCTTTTCCAGAGGAATCAGAGTAGGTCACTATCTCGATTTTATGCTTGAGGTGCTTTTTGAATTGAGCTGACATGTACACTGGCTAGCTTTCACTACCATTATGACGGCCGGTAGGTGTTAGAATTGACCCGTTGGATGTAGCATGTGCTAACTTGGTCCTTGGTCGCAGCTTTGCCGATAAGCCTCTCTCGGAGGAAGAGACTACTCCGCACCTGTCGGAACTCATCCGAACCTACCTGTCAACAATGGCAGACCTTGGTGCCGAGACATGGATCATGCATGGTACTCTTCTGGCATGGTGGTGGAATCAGAAGGTTGTTGTTACCGACTCCCATAGTCGCTGCGTTGTGCCTCCCGCTGACAGCTGATCAGATCTTCCCTTGGGACAATGACCTTGATGTCCAAATATCTGAACCCACAATTCACTTCCTTGCCGATTATTACAACATGACGGAACACCATTTTGAAATTCCAGGGGTCGAGGGCGGGCGAACTTATTTGCTCGAGATAAATCCTAACTACGTCATCCGGTCTACCGACGATAAGTTGAATGTCATTGATGCGCGTTGGATTGACACTTCCTCCGGATTGTTCATCGACATCACCGCCGTGCGCAAAGATGACGACAGACGAGAACGCGGTGACCCCGGTGCTCTGATGTGCAAAGATGGCCATCGCTTTGATGTAAATGGCGCGCAAACCACCGACACAACATGACAGCTAACCAGTTTACAGGAGACCGAAATTTTCCCGTTACGGAATAGTTACTTCGAGGATGTTCCTGTCAAAATTCCGTTTGAATATGTCCGACTTCTCAAGAAGGAATATGGCTCGAAATCTATGACCGCTACCACCTTCCAAGGGTAAGTTGTCATGCCTTTGTCAATAGGCCCTCCAACTAAACCTCGAATTCAGGCACCATTTCAACGATGTCACAGAAGTGTGGGATAAACAAAGGAAACGGCAGTTTTGGCGCCGCCAGCCAGTCGACGTACCCGTCCGAACCACGCCGCTCGGGCCTTTGTTTCGATGAAACTCGAGGACTGTTTTAAAAGTTCAAGGCTCATTGATGCATCTGGGCCTGATTATGACAGTTACGATCTGACCGGGTTCAATTCTTTTTATATAGTCGTCACTTGTTTGCATATATATGGCGTTATCCTTCGGAACGCATACCATTTATTCGCACGTTGGATACATTCGGCGTTGGGTCTATTATGCTTCTTCGGCCTTCTGTTCTATTCATTGGGGTCATTTCAGACTTTCTCTGTCCCAAATCTAGAGTTTTGTGACCTGGCTTCCCGGAGTCGGGGCTACTGAACAGTTAAGTCTACGGAGACTTTTGTGAATATATCAAATATATAATCTAGTATTGTCCGCGACATTGGCCCATGTAGTGAACCACGGTTGATGCACAAATCACAAGGGAAGCAGCAGGAAGGCTACTGAAGTGCCTGACCTTTGCACGAAGTCTCAGATCCACGGTCATTGCAAGGACTACGTTTGAGATGTGTTACGTATGCGAGGCTATAGGTAAAACTATCCCGTCGGTGAACTTGAACGTCAGGGGCTAATCAATACCTATACGTACTCCATGATATAGCCATTGTATAATATCGCACGATGGTTCCCCGCTGATAGAAGAAACCATCTTTCCTTTGCGAACAATAGAAATGACCCCACGCCAGTTAGCCTGTACCCAGCTACTATTAGTCACGGACTGATTTAACTTATATTCATTGACACAATGTCAGATGCACGTGTTCGTCTTTTCCTTTACGATTACGTGAGGAGCTACCGTTCCTGGCCAATGGCGTTGTCAGAGACCTGAATCGACTGTCTTCCCCTCCCCACTATGAGTCGATGACTGAGGCACGGGCAGTATTAATTAGTTAGTGAGCTTGGCCCCCGATCATAATAATACAGTAATCCGGACCGATTCACCTCCTTTGGTCTGATCAATAATTTTCTTTATCCCACTTCATCTCAGCGCAAAATTCCCTTGAACTGCCGCTGCCGCTGTCGCTGTTGACGATGTGGCATGCTCCACCTATACTGTCATGTCCTTCCATAGTCCACCACTTCCAGCACAACAACGCCCGCCTGTACCCACTGTGACCTCGCCAGCCTTATCTGCGACGCACTCCCGACAAGATTCGGAGAGTCTCAGTCATGGCCAGGCTGCGATCGTTGTTGACCATCACACCGACCCCCATTCCTCGCACGAGCTGCATAGCATACGCAGCTGTGTTACCTGCCGTCGGAGGAAAGTCCGCTGCAACAAGCGATCGCCGTGCTCGAATTGTGTCAAGGCGGGGATCGAGTGTATTTTCCCCCCACCTGGAAGGGCGCCCCGCAAATCGAAGCGGCCACAAGATGCGGAGCTTCTGTCTCGACTCAGGCGCCTGGAGGGTGTCATCGAGCATTTGAACGAGAAACGAACAGCGTCGCTATCGGATACGCCTTCCCCACGCCAATCGCGCAGTGAGAACGTGAGCACACAGGGTCCGCCGGCGCCTCCAGCAGGCCCCGGCGATGGCGACGGGTGTCCGCTGATGCTGAATGCTGCTAATGTGGACCCCCGCAGGCCTATGCCCACGCGAAACATGGAGCATGAATTTGGACGGCTGGTTATCGATGAAGGCCGGAGTCGTTATGTGAGCAATCGGTTCTGGGCCAGTCTCGGTGATGAGGTGAGCCGATTTCTTGCTTCTTCCATGTTGTTTATGATGAGGCACCCTTCGGGTATTGACAGAGGGATACGAGTAGATCGAAGAGCTTCAGGATATCCTCGACCCATCAGCGTCGGAGGACGAGGATTACCCCTCTCCAGAGTCGTCGACTACTCACTCCGCCAACCATGACGGCTTCCTATTCGGATTTTACTCGCTTTCCCATTCCCTTCGCGGCTTCCTGCCACCATCGTCGAAGATCCCGGTGCTCTGGAATTTGTACTACGAGAATGTGGCGCCGCTGGTCCCCGTCGTGCATAAACCTACAGCCAAACAGCTTTTTACGATCGCAGCCCAGGACCCGGGCAGCTTAGATAAAAACCAGGAAGCACTATTCCTGGCGATGTGCTTAGTGGCGGTCATCAGCCTGTCTCATGAGCAGTGTGTCATCCAGTTAGATGAGGACCGTGATACTGCTGTGAAACGTTATCGATTTGCGGTCGAGCAAGCTTTGGCGAAGGCCAATTTCTTAAACACGCAGAACTTGATGTTACTGCAAGCCGCTGTCATTTTTCTCATTGGTATCCGTCGTGAGGATGATACTAAGTTCGTGTGGTCTATGACGGCTCTCGTTCTTCGCCTCGCGCAAGGTCTTGGTCTTCACCGGGATGGGACGAAGTTCGGATTAAAGCCCTTTGATACGGAAATGCGCCGAAGACTGTGGTGGCATATCTGTTTGTTGGACATTCGGTCGTCCGAAGACCATGGCACTGATGCGCAGATCCACGAACGGCTTTATGATACTCGGCTTCCACTGAACGTCAATGATGATGACATTACGCCGGACATGCAAGAGCCGCCCCCGGAGAGAATTGGCTTTACCGAGGTGACCTTCTGTCTGATCCGCTGCGATATCACAGTAGCCCTTCGGCGGGTGAGCTATGTCTGCCCTAATGGCCACTTCACTCCAGGTACTCGACCAGTGTCCGCGGATAACTGCGGAAACCTGATCAAAGCCATCAATGCCCGCATCGAGGAACGATACATCAAGCATTGTGACATGAACGTGCCAATTCAATGGGTTTGCGCTACAGTCGCTCGGCTCATTCTCACGAAACTATGGCTTGTGATTCACCATCCCATGACTCGCCCTGATCGTGACGTTGCTCTGACGAATGCAAACCGAGAGAGCTTGTTCGCAACTTCTGTGGAGGTTGCCGAATTCGCGCGCCTACTTGGGGCCGACAAGAACACATTTAAGTGGAGCTGGCTCTTTGCCACGAACATGCAATGGCATGCCATCGCATTTGTCTTATCAGAGCTCTGTGTACGCCCGTTGAGCCCTCTGACCGACCGTGCTTGGGAGGCTGTAAGCAATCTTTACCGAGATTGGGTACGCAACAGCAAACAACGGAAGGGCATGCTCTGGCGACCGCTGTCAAAGCTCATGAAGCGCGCGGCCGCCCATAGAGCCAAGCAAGAAGAGATGCGAACTCAGCTGGGTCTTAATGTCGGCTCTTTTCAGTCTGTGCCATTCACTGGTGGCACTGGACCCTCGATTTTGCAAGCCCCTCCCATATTACCCCAGCCTCTTGCGCAACGAGAAACCCAAATATCATCTGCCATGCCAGAGGGCGGTACGTTGTCTAATACAAGCGGACTTGATATCGATCTTCGAAAGGGGCCGATGGACGCAATCGTCAATTTGTTCCCCGGTGTTGACTGGTTGTCTCCTCAAGCGGCAGCTATGGCGGCAGCCATTGAGCAGCCAACTACAACTCCTGGGGACGCATCGATGAACTCATTCGCCGGACCAGTGCCCATGCAGCAGAACGAGAACAAGCCGGACCCTCAGCTCAATTGGGATGAGTGGGATAGGGTCATGCACGACTTCCAGATGGATTTACAAGAAGCCAACACCGAAAACCCTTTTGCGAATATTTCGGACTGGCTTGCCTGATGTGCCTGTGCGGCAGGAAGCGCACCATGCACCTGAAGTGTGCTTTATATACCCTCTAATCCAGCCGTGACCCTAAGAGGCCTTTCGCCCTTCGCTTGAGCGGGCTCAGTGTTGTGGTATGACTGGCGAACCTTCTCAATTATTCTCATGCAAAACTCCCCTCTTCACGATGCAGAAATACCCCTCTCCAATCTTAATCACAGTGAATCGATGAATATAATATGATGACTATGTGTATAATAAGTCTGAATGCTACCAGGATATTTTCTTGAGGTTGTATGCGACTTGGCTACGGTGACTACCATATCAGATCTGCTACAACCATGTACTGTATCATAGTAGAACACCCCAGACTTGCACATATCAGCGATCAGCAAACAGAACTTCGTGTAACTACTAGTAGATAAGCCCCGGCCGATAACAGCACATATCACGTGACACCGCGTAACGGACAGCTTGCGTAATGAATCCCCGAGGTACAACACCGACTCAGCCGAAATCCAGACGCTCTCTCACCCTGTCAGTCTTCCTCTTTCTCACGATCTTTCACACCAATTGACTCCCAAACCGAGACGAGACCCAGGCAATCCAACCTCTAAAAAAACCATGCCTGCCAAACGCACCGCCGCCGCCGCCGGCCCCGTCCCCGCACCCTCACCTCCAACTATACCTTCATCCTCAACCACCACCGCTGCTGCTACTCCTGCCTCCTCCTCCTCCTCCTCCCTCTCCTCCGGTCCCAAGACCCTAACCACCAACTCCTCCGTCCTCGACATCGCCCACACCGTGTGGCAGCAATACCTCGCCACCACCCCGCAGCGCACGCTCCTGCTCGACGCCTTCATGGGCTTTTTGGTCCTGGTCGGCGGCGTGCAATTCCTCTACTGTGTTCTGGCCGGCAATTACGTGAGTTCCCAGCATTTCTTTCATTGCGTTACTGGGTATTCGAGTCAGGGGAAGGCCCTTCTTGTGGGATGGAAACCATATGGCTAACTGTTTCCCTCCCAAACATAGCCCTTCAACGCCTTCCTGAGCGGCTTCTCGGCGGCGGTGGGCCAGTTCGTGCTTACCGCTAGTTTGCGCATGCAAACTTCCTCTTCTTCGACTTCGGCTGCGGCGGTCGCGTCTGGTGGGAAGGGCGCGAAGGGGAAAGCTGCTGCTGCTACCGCTGCCGCGTTGGGGAGTGAGACTGGGGGGGATGGGATTTCGCATGAGAGGTGAGTTTTTCTTTCTTTTCAGGGGTTGTGATTGGGTTTGGGTGTGGGAGGGGAGCTGGACTGAGCTGACTGCTTGGGGAATTAGGGCGTTCGCGGATTATATCTTCGGGAGTTTGATCTTGCATTTCTTCTGTATCAACTTTATCAACTGAGCGGATGCCCGGGTTGGATTTCGAGGGCGTGAAGGTAGTGGGATCGGGGGTGGGAGGTTGGGTCTGGGTCGGACGGATTCCGGTGAGTGGGATCAGGACTAGTCAGAGGGTTAAGATAACTGGGGCTGGACTGGGCGCGAAGTGAAGGTTCAAGGTTGCGATTTGAAGAAGATCCCTGGTGGATTTGATGCTGTAACTCTGATCTGTCTGGTCTGGTCTGGTCTGGTCTGATCCTTCTGGTTGAAAAGTTAGTTGAAGGAAAAGAACAAGAGGCGATGTAGTCTCATCCTCGAGAGGTACCTGATTCCCAGTCGTGATAGTACTCGAGTTTCCGTGAAATCTACATCCGTAATTAATGTCCTGTCGGCGCAACTTCATGCAAGAGCCCGGCAAACAGGTGCACGGTCTCCGTTGGACTCTCAATTGAAGTATGTTCATGTTCATGCTCATAACTCTTTACCAAGATCGGGGTATACCTCTATATGTACTGTACATACAACAACAACAATCAAAATGCCCTTCCAGGTCTTCTTTTCACCTGGGGCTTCTTGACCACACTTCCCCCTCCTCCTCCTCCCCCTGCTCCTCCGCCACCTCCAGCTCCAACTCCATTGCGTGAAGAGCTGGAGGCAGTCACACCTCCAAAACGGCGGGCTGTGGCAGCCGGCCGACGGACCACGGAACTGCCCACTTCGATCTCCTGCCGGCGTCGGGAGGGGTCATTGCGCTCCTGCTCCCTCTGCTTTTCCGCGGCGGCCCGTTCCCGATCCGCGGCCATTTGAGTTTCGATCTCCATGCGCCGATTGAACTCCTGTTCGGTGACTCGGCGCTCGCGCTGAGAATAGCCCTTTTCTTTGACTGAGTAAAAGACGCCTCCGAGTTCGGCGAGCCACTGCATACAAGAAGTTTCCACGGTCAGTTTGAGATCACGATGGCGATGAGAATGAGGGGACAATAATGATGGGGCAGGATGGAAATGGCGGGGGATCAGAACTTACGTGTGGGTCGACAGCCGTGACGGTGGACATATACTCCTTGCTGGTGAGGATCAACTCATGATACACCACGTATTCGGGCACATAGCCCAGGCCATACAGAGCACTCGTCGGGTGCAGCTGCATGCTCACGCTGGTGCGGAGATTGAGGAACTCGCCGATGCCCTTGACGCGCGCGGCCTGGTGGTAGAATCCGGAGCAGATGCACTTACGGATAACATCCCAGTCGGTTCCACAGCTGACAAGGGGCATCTTCTGCACCGTCATGATGTCGTGCAGCTGGTCTCGGACCTCCCGGGCGCGTCGAAGGGCTTTGGCGTGCAGGAAATGGCGGGTACACCAGCCGTCGGAGTAGCCGTTGGCCTTCCATTGCGTGTAGACATGGAGGAGCGTGAGGTGATCCGACTCGGGGACAAAGAATTTCTCTCGCGCGGCGTCGGATTCCTCCTGACGTTCTTTGGGGCGGTAGAATACGCTCGGAACGGACAGCATGGAGACGATGCTGAGCATCTCCTCGCTACACCCGTACTCCTCGGAGGCTTTGATCAGCAATTTCGCGAGCGGAGGGTCCATGGGGAAAGGAGTCATCCGCCGACCCAGGTGGGTGAGGTCGCCAAGGTTATCGAGCGCCCCCAAAGACCAGAGTTCGAAGAGCGATGTGGTGATCGTCTCCTGCGGCGGAGGATCCATGAAATCAAAATCCAGGAGATCCTTGACACCGAGAGACTTGAGCAGGAGGACGGTATTGGAGAGACTGGTGCGCTGAATTTCGGGGATGGTCTGCAAATAGAGTTCGTTCTTGTAGGCGACTTCCGTGTACAATCGATATGCTTTGCCGGGCCCTGTCCGACCTGCACGCCCCGAGCGCTGGTTGGCGTTGGCCTGAGAGATTGGTGTAATCTGCAGCGTATCCATACCCATCCGAGGGTTGTATACTTTCAACTTAGAATAGCCCGAGTCCACCACGAACATGATTCCGTCGACCGTCAAACTGGTCTCAGCGATGTTTGTGGCAACAATCACTTTGCGCACCCCGTTCTCGGCCCGTTCGAAGATTTTCGCTTGCTGCTCCGCGGGCATCTGACTGTAAATGGGCAGAATGCTGAGCTTCGGGGGATCATTCAGTAGCTTTAGCCGTTCGTCCACCAGTTCGCAGGTAGCCTCGATATCCTCCTGACCTGTCATGAAGACAAGGATATCACCCGGTCCTTGCGATACGTGAATGGCCAAGACCTGCTTGACCGCACTGTCCACATAGTCTTCGCATGGGGTACGCGAGAAGTGAACATCAACGGGGAACGTCCGTCCAGGGATGATGAATTCAGGTGCGCCGCCGTAGAATCGAGAGAAGCGTTCGGCGTTCATTGTAGCCGATGTCACAATCAATTTAAGATCCCTGCGTCGGGCCAGCACCTTTTTCAAAAGCCCCATGAGGACATCAGTGTTGAGAGCTCTCTCATGCGCCTCATCCATGATGATGCAGGAGTATTTGTCGAGGTCCTGCTGAACCAACGATTCTCGTAATAGGACGCCGTCAGTCATATACTTGATGACCGTCTTGCTACTCGTGCAGTCTTCGAACCGGATCGCATAGCCAACCTCTTCTCCCAAGTCCACCTCCATCTCCTCGCTTACTCGTTTGGCAACACTCATAGCAGCCACCCGACGAGGCTGCGTACACCCGATCATTCCAAACTTCGAATAGCCGTCTTCGTGCAGAAACTGTGTCAGCTGGGTCGTTTTACCAGACCCCGTTTCACCGACCACCACCACCACCTGGTTATCTCGTATCACCCGCAGCAAGTCCTCTCTCACGGCGAACGCCGGAAGGAACTCTCTTTGCTCGCGGAGCGTCTTGCTCTTGCTGAATGAGCTCTGCCCGCCCTCGTCCTTTTTCAGGTGTTTGGCAAACTTGTTTCCGCTCTTATATGCCTCCTCCACGGGCACTGCGACCGCACTGTCCCCCTCGTCCTCCTTGACACCCATCAGATTTCCGAGGGCCGTGCCCGCCATGGTTGTTGCTTCCTGCGCCTGCTTCTGGCGTTCCCGCTGCTGACGCCTTTCGCGCACGACTTTGCTTCCCTTGCGACTGAAGACAGCCATGTCACTTTGCGGATCCCGGACAGCGGAGATGGGCTCCAGCTGTTTTGTGAAAATCGTGCGGCCATCAAGGAACGGTGGGCGGAGATCATGAACCAGCAAATGGACTCGAGTTCCTTCTTCGTCTTCGGGCATGAAGTCCCCATCGAAGTCCCTTCTCTGAGCGACACCGGACGTAAGCATTCGGTTGGTTTCCCAGTTGTCAATGTCCTTGCGCTTCGCGTCGCGCAACGGTCCCGGCAGGTTGGAGCTTTTCAGCCTCTTGGCTGGGGGCATGTCGTCCGGCGCCATTTTGAATTGTTGGTGTAGAAGTTTTGAAAGGAGACAAAGTAAGCAGCGCAAGTTATTGACTTTTCGAAAATGTCTGCGAGAAGGGCCACAGCTGCTTGCTTGAGCCCTCCTGGCGATGAGTTGGGATAGATTCGGAGGCGGATTCCGATGGACTATCGGGCGATGGGCGATAGTGTCACCATGCAAACCCTGCAAACAGAGGTCAAACACGTGATTGATACACACCACCCAATGACGCAGACTTAGAGCTCATTTCAGGGCAAGACAAGATCGCAGTTGCAGTCTAAGTATACGTGATTGCACTACGATAACCCAAGTTTAAATTCTTACTGAGCTCCAAGTTGCACGTGGCAGCGCCGTGAGTGGACCCGGGTTCAGTATTGGCTTCCAGTTCCCTAGCCCGGTCCGCCGCCGCCGCCGCCGCCGCGGATATCGAACCAACGCCCCGCATCGCAACTCCAGCTCAGCTTTGCAAGTACGCTGCGTGTACCGAATATCGAAAAAATGGCCAGTCAAGCACAGATTAACCCTAAGAAGCAGCAGGGTATGTTTGTATAAGCTTGGGTTCCTGTTCTAGCGTTCAAGGGTTTCGTGCTGATCGTTTGCAGAGCTTCAGCTTCAGTACACCAATTACAAAAACACTCTGCAGCAGTTAGCACAAAAGATCGGCGATATCGAGCAGGAAGCAGAGGAGCACAAGTTAGTCTTCCCTGCTATACTCCCAGCCTGTTTTATCTGTTCAAGCATGGATCACTAATGCCAGCGTGCTGTCGTTAGACTTGTGATCGAGACACTCGAACCTCTTCCCAAGGATAGAAAATGTTTCCGCATGGTCAATGGGGTTCTGGTTGAACGTACCGTCGAAGACGTTCTTCCCTCCCTCAAAACAAACTCGGACGGCCTGAAGCAGGTCTTAGATGAACTGCTGAAGCAATACAAGTCGAAGCAGTCGGACCTTGACAACTGGAAGGTTCGTCATTTCATGCCAATCCTCATGAGAAGGATCCGCTCTGACCGGGATCTCCTTTATTATTACAGAAGAAGAACAACATTCAAGTCGTACAACCATAGGAGAACAATAATCTGAGAGTTACCACGGTTCATTGACTACCTTTCATATTTCCCTTGGTGCCATCTCTGGAGGAATCAAACGGAGAGCAGGGCAGGAGCGGCATTATTTGGAGCCCACAGCCATCTTGACAGCCTCTTGACTTCGCTTCTATTGCCACAATTCCATGGACTGAACAATTCGTGGCTCATGGTATCTGCTATGACAGGATTTTGCCAATTTCGCTCGCCTAGGACGAGGACGATGTGTGGCAGCTAAACACAAACCGGTACTTTGTTACAGGACGGTCGGGGCCTTGAATGCACTCATGGCTAATTGTTAGGTTCACTTCTGGGGATGATTTGATATCATGCCATAAAGCTGAAGTCTGAGGCGCTGATTTCAAGGCTTTGATCATCCCTGACAGCAAAATAGTGTATAATACAACTTCTGTGCCTTTTTCACCTTGTTTGATGACTCTGCCTCTCAGTGTGCATCGCCACCGGTTGATATGTTCTATCACTATTGTTACCGCAGTCTTCGTCTACAACGCAGGGATTCTAGTAATTGACATAGTCAGAGAGGGCGTCGTCTAGCCAGGAATTCTCCGATAAAGCTTATGCACCCAAGAGATGGTGTGGCTCGGCTGAGTTGGCCCCTGTGGAACAAGGCGTCTGAAGTAAACATCTGCTGTACTCGTCTGCAGTTGGCCGATTCGAGGCCGGATCACGACAGCTGCACGAAAGCACATTGCTCCTGACTTCATCTGATAGTCTTGTTCCCGAGATTTCCTACTGGCTGCTTCATGTCAGCCTTGGGAGTAGATCTGAACTATCCCAATGCATGTGTGTGTGTGTGTGACACGTTCAATGGCTAGCAAGCTCTCAGCCAACTTTGTTTGACAGATGATCTTCGAGGCTGATATGCCGATTTTGTCCTCTTGGGGAGCGAGCAGCTTGGGTAGAAGCCACATGGATTCTATGTAGTAGAGAGCGGCAAGTGATGGATGCCCTCATCCACACCTCCGCAGATTGGGCTGCGGAGTAGAACTCTCTGTGGCCTTTGCCTAATCGGCACCTTTTCCAAAAGTATACAGTGCTTCATGCCGAGCAGGGCTCTGAAATGTGATGAGACGAAGAGATGCATGAAAGTTCAGGTTCCCCGAATAGATGGCTGGCCCAAATTGTCAGGAAACGCTGTTGATGCCTGACGCCATGTACAGTACACGGTCCGTCAGTCCTCATAGGGCACGTAATGACATAAGAGAATGATACAGTTCAGTCAACACGGATCCTGAGACAAAGGACAGAGCAAGCGAGGTATTATTATGGGTGCTATGATATCTTAAGGTTGCTGAGGGAAGTTTCGCCGGCCCACTTGTCCTTGACATTGATTGGAGCATTGGTCTCAGAGGTACTCTATGTATAGGTAGAGATAAGAAGTAACCGATAAACATTTCTGCGCATGTAAGAGCTATGTGACTAGGTCTCTTGAAACGCGATAGGAGTTGCACAGCGTCAAAATCAGTATCAAGCGTGCACGGCACGTAAGATGTACGAATGTTCCTTGCGATTGTCGCTGTCGTTGAAATGGCCTCGAGGATGTTATTGCAGAATGAAAGAAGATAAGGCCGGTGGCCAAGAGATCCGGGGCCGATGACGAATATCACGTGTAATACCGTATCAATACACCCCTCCCTCTCGCACCCCGTGAGCTTGTGAGGAGCTAATCCTAGAATAGAAAGTAACAGAGCGATACAGCGTTAGAGGGGCGTTATGGAAGTCCTGAGGCCGCCGATGAGCGCTGGTTGCTGGTTTCCCACCGCGGCTCATCGACTCTCAACTTCCTCTCCTCTTCCTCATCGTTCTTCTTCTCTTCACTCAATCTGGGACATTGGGCGCAACCAAGGTCGTCCATCGTGTTCCGCTCATCGTTTCTCTTCGAATAATACTCATCTATTGAGTGCTTCTCGGGAGCAGGAAACTGTGCATTGCAAACCGCGTCAAAGCTCATTGGCGCTTGGATATATTCATCGCGACAGCCAGGGACTTCTGGTTCGCCAATTGAGAGCTGCGCGCATTGCGGCCGTCTCCAGTCAGACCTGCCCTACGCCCCCCTCCCCCGGTGCCTGCCATTGACTGGCCGGTAAGCCTATTACCTTTTCCCTTACATCGCCTCCCCCCTACCCATTTCAGCGTCCTCGTTTCTTGCATTTCAGTCCAATCGCTGTCGCGCTTTGGCTTGCTTTTCTTGTTGGTATCTTTTGTCGCCCAGCTGCGCAACGTGCCACTGCCCCCCCCCTCAATCCTGTCTGACCCACGGTTACTTCCGTGTTGTATTACCCGCGTCACATTCCGCCCGCCCTGTTGACCTTCTCCCGCGTCCATGAATGCGCGTGCTGCAAAGAGACTTAGGCTTTTCAGCTTGCTGACTTTACTATCGCCTTTAGTTTGACAGCTCTAACGTCATTCCAGCATTATTTCTGGAAGACCTAGATTGGGGCTTCTCCAATTATAGCAAGACGAAAAAGAAAAGGAACGAAGCCCAAGATCAGTTGTGTATGTTTCCAGGACCTCCCGCAAGCTTGCCCTTACTTCATTGGCCCTCGAATCAGGTTGTCCCATTCAGCCCATTGCAGCCACTCTTTAGACCAGCAATAATAATAGAGCAATAACAAACAGAGCCATCTTTCAGACCGTGTCTCGTCATCGCAGTCGGAATAACAGATCCTACCAGGCCGTGTTCAGAACGCTAAGGCACACACGCACTATCGCGGAAGCGCTGCCAATCCCCCACACGCGTTGTCACAGTCATCCTTCCCCGTTCAGGCTGTTGTGAAGCGAATCGCTGCCCAGCCAGACACACCTTCAGTACCCTTGGCGCGGCTGTATCATAACGTCCAAGATCGAGAACCCACCACGCCCTGTACGCAGCTCTGACGTGGTTTGCCAACAGAGCAATAGAGACAGCCCTTCCATCCTAAATCCAGTATCTCTGCACGTTCTCCCGACAGCTAAAAATCATGTCGTCGACCTCCCCCTCGAAGGAACCGGAGGTGGAACCGGAAGTTCAATCGGGTGAAGACCAGGAACAAATGGACAAAGACCAACAAGACTCCCAGGCGCAAGGTCAGGGAGAGTTCGAAGTAAAGGAGCAGGACAGATGGCTACCAATTGCAAATGGTTAGTTGCGTTCCCTTGCAGCTTGTCGCTTCGTCCTGATTTGTGCGTACCTTACCTTCACCTGCTGGTCAACCGCCTTTTGCCCTACTATGATTGCTCGTGCCTCTCCACCGCCTAGGAGGCTGATTCGGTCAATCGTCACCATTCCTTGCTATCCTATTCATCTACCTGCCATCATCTATTTCGGGGATTGATAACCACAAGCCTTTCGGTTCATGTCCCTATTTGTCGTCTGCTACCACTACCAGCATTCATCCGATTGGGCAGACATGTCTACAGTATGCTATAGCATGCTGGGTGCATTATGCCCATATCCACCTCTTCGTTGTTACTACCACTGCATGCCTGTATAGATTACTGACATTGCCTGTGAAGTGGCTCGCATCATGAAACTAGCTCTACCTGAGAATGCGAAGATTGCGAAGGAGGCCAAGGAGTGTATGCAGGAATGTGTGAGCGAATTCATCTCGTTCATCACCAGTGAAGGTCTGTACAGTCAATATCGTCTCATTACCAGCACTGAAGACTGACTGTCGAGCCTTTTGCGTAGCTTCCGACAAATGTCAGCAGGAGAAGCGTAAAACCGTCAACGGAGAGGATATCCTTTTCGCCATGACCTCACTCGGCTTCGAAAACTACGCAGAGGCACTGAAGATCTACCTATCAAAATACCGCGAGGTAAGACTTGTGCAACGCATCTAGCCACTTTGCCCTCGCCCCAACTGGCGATAGCGTGGTTTGCTTAAAGAGAACACTACTGATCTAATCTGCAGACCCAATCCGCGAGAGGAGAGCATCAGAACCGTCCGACCAGCAGTGGGTACAACGCCGGCGGCCCCGTTGGAGGCCCTCCCGGCGCCGGTCCATCCGGACGGCCAGTTGCACCGACGGGTCCGGGGGCCTTCCCTGATACCACGGATGCTGCCAATAACATCATCAACCCAAGCTTGGACCCCTCTGAGCAGGATGCTTCCGCCTACGGCTACCCTCCCATGGTCGGCCAAGCCCACAACGGCACTGGCGGTGATTCCTACTAGAGTAAGCGTCTATGTGCAGGAGAACCATTCCAACTGACGCAGTGCAATCATAATTGGTTCCAAGGCCATCAACCATATCCCCACGGATGATCTACACACTGTGTCCCAAAATGCACAAAGGAGTCCAAGACTGGTTTCACCGTGTATCCAGCCCCTGAGGGCTCACAGTAACAGACACGGTCCCTTGCTACAAACGTTTCAAAATACACTTCCGGTCCCTACTCCCTTGACAACATAAAGTCCCCCCAAGCGGTGCGGCACGAGCATTATGGGGATTTGTTTACTCACGGAACTTGTGACGGACGGAGAGTGGGTGAGATTTTTAACTTAGCGATCCGACAGATTCAGATCTCAGTTTACGGGTGGCGCGCTTATCTTGGCTTTTCACCGGTTGTTTCTTCTGTTACATGAGCTGCGGCTTCTCACTTCCCTGATTTCTCTGGGCACATCAACTGCCTTTTATTGTATTACCCGCTCCGATTCCCAGTTTTTCCTTTCCTTGTTTCGTTAGGAGACTCACCCTGTCTCCTCAATCAGTGTAAAAGAGGCTGTTTTGCATGACCCGGTAGGTCCGGGTATGCTGGTCCCTTCGATCTGGGATCATTTGTATTTATCTGTCTTCGTCGAGTTGTCTCGTCTACACCTATATTCATCTGCTATTCTTAGCTTATTTGTCTGGGCATATGCTTTCGGGCGGTGGATCTTAGTGTTGGCAGATAGAATCAAGCTTGGACATTGCTGTCCTTTAGCGCTTTCGCGGCACAGCAAGCTGATTGGGGCTAAATTTTGGTATACTGATTTATGACAATTCCATGTTAGGGAAGCTATGCATGATAAATGCAAAAAGATCATCGATATTTCCCGACATCGATGGTGCTAAATATCAATGAAAAGCCGGAACAGAGCAATGAGGGTCATCAAGTCATTATCGTTCGCGCACAGTCCATGTTCTCAAGGAAAATCCGGGTAGCTTCAAGACCAATGATATGTGGCAATGACAAGTACGCCATAAATGCAAGTGCAATGCAAATGTCAGCCGTGCATCCAGCCTCCGTCATGCAAGAGATCCGACAGTGGTGTCTCCTGCCAGTAAATTTGACGCCACTCATCTTCCAATTCAGGAAGACCTTCCATGGCCATCGGAAGGACGGGTTGGTCCATGTCTGCGAAAGAGAACAGCTGCCGCCAATCGAGAGATTCGCGGGGGGCGTCCAGAGTCTCTACCGGAGCCATGTTTGCGGCTGGCATCCAGTGATCGATCGCGTGATTCTGTTGAAGGCCCGCAGAGGTAGTGGGGTTTGGAATGTGTGTCGACTCTGGAGTCGGAACTTCGTAGGAAACAGGCTGTTCCTCCTGCTGTTGTGGAGTGTGTGTAGCTATTGTGCTTGTGGAAGAGCTAGAGGATGAAGTATGGGCCACAATCTTTTCCCGTTCTGGGGAACTTCTGAAACCACGGGGTCTTTCAGTTGTAGCCAAGCGAAGATCCTCCTGAAGGCGCTTGGAATCTTCGAACAACCGTAAGATAGTGGTGGCATGGGACCAGTATCCTGCCAGTTCACGAAGTGAATAAGAAGCTGAATCAAAGCGACGAAGGGCATTAATCGCTAGGACAGGATTTGAGAAGCGAAGCTCCACTCGCACTTGTATCATTGCCGTGAAAAGGGTATGGACAGCGGAGTACCAGAGAATCTTCAAGCGATCATGGAGACGAAGTTCTTCGAAAATCGAGGCTATGACACCTGCAGCTGCGCTACAGATCTCAGCATCGTGTGGTCCGTAGTCATCCGAATATGCAGAGGCTCTTGGATGGGGTCGATGTAGTAAAATGAGGAAGTTGTTATAGGTCAAATGAAGCATAGCAGACCATGGATCCACGTCAGATGCTCGTAAGCGTAATTTGTCTGGAAGCTTCAAGGACCAATTAGCTAGGCTCTCGTCGGCTTCTTGCAACACCGCTTTGCGACGCTCTGGGTTGACTCTCAGTCCGAAACGATTGCGAACAATGTAAGATATCATTGTGCAGAGTTCCGAAAAATGAATCACAAAGTCTGTCTGAACCCCAGGTCCACATCCTTGGAAGTCTGAAAGTGTTAACGAAGACACATCTGAGTCCTCAAGATTACTAGAGGAGACTGTCAGTCACGGACATCAAGTGTAAGACATCTGGACCACTTACATAGCTTGTGGGCGTCCATATGAGAGAGATACCATGACATCGAATTGGACTAGAATATGCCAAAGCCTCCTCCACATACGGCGGTCTCGAGGAACAAATCGGCTTGACACAGGATTTCGATGCATTCCTAGTCCTGTGGCAATCCTAGCAGCTACGCCAACCCAGTAATGAGCGTTAGCTGAGACATCATCGTCAGGGCTATCAGAGTGCCAAGTCAAAAGTAGAGCGGCCTGAATCATGATGTCGCGGTTTCGCTCGACACGACTGTCGAATAACCATTTAGCTCGTCGGAAGAAGATCTCTTTCAGTGCATCACGCTCGACCTTTTGCCGAGCTACGTGTGCTCCGACTAGAAGTATTGCTTGTAGAAGCAGGATTGGCGGCGGGTCGGCAGGGTCCCGATTCCGGTACTGTGTCATGAAGAGATCCTCATCGATGATGGGATACCCTGGGTTGACGTGGTCAAAGTAAGCCTGAACCAGTTCATCTGCCAGAGCCGGTTCAGGTAAGGTGAGAGCATCCATCAAAAGTTGATCGTGGCCTGTTCTCAGTTGGCGCCGAGGTATTTCGTTTCCAGCAAAGTGGTACACGTCGTCGACTTCGTCTCGCTGTTGGCGGATCAAAAACGACATGTTGGACAGCTCGTGACCGACATAGATCGCTCGCACACCCCGACGGATTTCTCGACTGCCTGATTCTTCCTCGTCGATCAGTTTCACCAATCGTCTTTCCAAATCCGCATGCGAGTCCTGTTCTATGGAGATCTCCGATTCCGTTGGGCGATGGTATGTCTGGGCATCGGAAGTTGGTGAAGAACTGTGATGCTGTTGTTGGTGATCAACATGGTCATTGGTTGTACGATGGAGCGCATGGACATTGGCGAGGGAAGTGGCAGCTGCCACAACGTCCGGTTGAACGTTGCGGAAGGCAGTTGTGAAAGCATTTGGCGGAGCAGCAGGAGTAGCAAGATTTGATGGCTTGTGCGTAGGTTCAAAAGCAGGAGGTGGACGGCAGCGAATAGGTACAGGGTTCAAGATTGAGCGTGTAGCTAAGCGTTTCTTTTTCTCATGAATGCGGCAGTCTGACTTTCCCGCGGAGCGGCAATTGGAGCAAGGCAACCCGACGAGCCGAGCATCACAGCGAACTTTGCGCCGATGACAGTGAATGCAGGCGGCAGAGCCTGGCGCAGACAGACATTGATGAGAATCCAACTATTTAAGAAGTGCAGATGATGAGCCAGGACGAGTACATACCTGACTTGCGCTTAGTCACGCCATTCCCGGTGGGTGGACTGCTATGCGCTGCGGAGGACATAGCCGAAGCATCGATATAGATTCCAGGTCCGGAGACTCGTTACTTCGTCATGCATAACCAGATGCACGAGAGCAGGAGACGGCGATTATGGCATGATTCAGTCTTCGTGGTTAAGGCTATGAGAAATCAAGGAACCAAGGAGAGGATTAAATGAGTGGTGAAGAGAGGAGAGAGGGAGAGGTGGAAAAGGAAGAGGACAAGAGGGAGACACGCCGACAACAAGCGGGAAAGCGAGAGAGTGCAAGTGGAATGTGGGGCAGGAACGAGGCCGGGTCTGGGGGAGTCACGTGGCACGTGCGGAGAAAAAGCCACGGCTGGTGCCTTAAAACTGTATGTAGTTTCCAGAATCCGCATGGAATATTGGGCGGGGTGAGATCAGATTGAACTTCCTTGGCCCATTCTGCTGGTCAAGAGAAGAATGGGATTTATTCCCATCCTCCCCCTTGTCTAGACGCAACATGTTGGTCCAGGAAGATGGCTTTCTTCCGGTGACTGTGGAAGGAATCAAGCCGACCCACCTGGATAACCTTAGTGTCAAATTTGAGTGACTCCCTTATCAAGCAGCCCTATCAACTGTGTGTGACTGGCTCACTGCCTGGACCAAATGGGCCCTTATCAATTCAGTCCACCCTCAACAAATGCTTCTTTCAACAAACTGATACGATGAAATAAATCATACTCTAGCCATGCATCTCTATTGCTCTAATTAAGCTCATTCTAACCGTAAATAAAGCGTTTCCAATTGTTTGCAAATTGCTGAACTCCTTGTTCCAAAGCCCAACCACGAAGCTCGCAAATCTGCCGGCTGATCTGCTCCAATAGCTCGTCCATCTGTGGTCCGGCGGTGTGCAAGTCGCTTTCAATGAGGATTCTATCGTCGGGCAGAGCCTTGATAACGTCCACTACCTTCTGAGATGAAGGGTTGCTGAAATTAATGACCGCGGAAAACGAGAAGTAGACGACGGAGGGATTCGATGGATGCAAAAATTGCTTCAACGGGTCTACAGGTCCCGAATAAGAGTGCATGCAGATCCGGGGTGGGAAAGGAAGCGGTCGCTCGTTTGCTTGCGCCGAGTCCGATTGCTTCTGATTTTCTTCATCACTCTCAGCAGAGAAATTCCATTCATTCTGCCGACGATGCCTCTCGCTCCGTGATACCTGTTTCTTTTCATGACCAGACCAAAGCTTCTTGAGCAGATCAAAGACCGCCCCATGTGCTTGAACACTATGCACAGAGACCGGTCGACCTAGCTCCCCAGCAAGACGTAACTGCGCTTCAAGGACAGCCTTCTGGTGGCTCAGCTGCACCCGATGAGGGCTGAGAGTCCTGCCCTCACGTGAACCGGGCGTCACTGTCTCGTCCCGATTCTGCTGGTCGTCTTGGGTCCACGCATTGGGCAGCCGAAATGCGCGATCAAGGCCGATTTCGCCCACAAGGGAGCTGGAATAAGCCCTCAGTCGTGAGCGCGTCTCTGCAATCAGCTGCGAGAGCGGCTTGGGGTCCGGCAAGGAGGCGATAAATTCATCTTCCGGTGCCGGCGTAAGGACTTTCTTGTAGTGTTGTGCCTTTCGATCGTCCCGCGGAGAACCGTCAGGTTCTGCAGAGTCTGTAACGTCGTCGAGAATCTGGTGCGAGAACCACGGATGCCAGCCAAAGCATGGCAGCACAGGCGGTGGTTTTGTGCCTGTCGGATCATTTTCATTTTGGCTCAATGACATCGCAGTCTCGAGGACCAAATCTTGATCTTCTCCCCGGGTAGCCATGACCGTCAGGGTCGTTGCTTTCATTTGTGGAATCGTCTGAATTGACGACATCGTGTCGGTGGGATGGCAATGAGCGTCGTAAACACCCAAGTGCCATGGAAACTCGTCATTGTGCTTCGTGTCTGACATTTAGACAATAAGATGGCGAAGGTGGCGAGTAGTAGGTAGAGAGACCGGGGAAGACGGAAATCGGAGATGATGGGCGGTATTTGCAGTACGAGGATGAGGAGGTTGTAGTGACGTAACAGAATCGAGTTCATCAGAACCAGAACATGTAGCGCACTAGCTACTGCTATACTTCATGTATTTGCTAGGATTTGATAATTTAGGTCCTTTCTTAAATCTTCCCCTGATATATGTAAGCCTACAATTACAGGCTATGGGCCGATTGCCACAGCAGTGCTGTGTGAGGTGTCAAAATCTTCCATGCCTGGGGCAGCCGGTATCACATGCACTTCTCCGCAATCTCGGGGAATTTGGCTATCCCGAAGTAGAAATCCACCAGAAGATCCATCCATCCGTTGTATAACCATCTGCTTTTCGATTCAGATCATGGTGACAAGACTGAAAGGTCGCTTCTGGCCTTGCTTCGAATACAGTGCTGGTCCCTATACATCTCATTCATCTCATTCCAAGAACCAGATTCACCCAAATCAAGCACAAGACTGTTTCCAACCGTCTTCATGTCTACCTCTTTGTCCGTTCTCCTCACACTTCCCTTCTTAGCCATCATCTCGATCCCTCTCGTCATCTCCGCCTGGATCACGATCAGCCTCTCGCTGCTAGCGCTCGTCCTCAGACTTCTCATCATCTACCTGGAGCTATGCTTCGCAATCATTGCCAACTTTTTCGTGATCTCGACAGCAACAAACATCTCGTTGCTGAATCTATCTGCGTCGGAGCCCTCGACGCCCGCCTCTTCGACCCCCAAAAGACTCTCCATAGACCATGGCGCAACGAGACCTCCACCACCCACCTTGACGTCTCATCAGCACCAACATCATCATACCTACAATCATCACAGCCATCACCTGGCACACTCACTTGCACATACCCAGAGCAAGAAACGTCCTAACCACGCTACCCGGACCAACAGCGCCTCCACCTCCTCCGACGACCAACAAGACAACAACATCCCGCCCACCCGCCTGTGCAAGGAACCCTCCCAACGCAACGGACACGCCCCTGCCTCTACAGCAGCAGCAGCGGGCCTCCTAGGCCTCATCAGCGGCGACTCCGGCCGAGACTTCGAAGGTCTCGGCGGCTGGCGGACACCACCACCACCCAGTACCTCCAGATACCACCATATCTCAGGCACGCACTCCCCAACAACAACTCCAAACGGCCTCCTCGGAGATGACACCCATACCAACACAAACAGATCCGACGACCCCGACGGCGAAGACGAGCGAGCCTGGCTCTCCATTAACCAACGCCTCGAGCTCCCCTCGCAACCCCTAACCCTCCGCAGCAACAGCAGCACCTCGGAGCTCGTGGAACCATCATCATCATCATCATCTTTCTGGCGCCAACGACGCCCGTCGCAGGAGCAGCACCCACCACCGCCGCACCACGGTGGCCGACATCGCCGCCACCACCACCGCTCAGCAACCACCTCCTCGCTCCAAGTCTCCAAGCTATCGACCAGCTCGTTGTTCTTGTCCCTATCCAGTCGGCCGGAACCCGGCGTAGCAGCAGCAGCACAGCCCGAGGCCCCCCGCGGCCTCAGAGCTCTTTCTCCGTCCTCATCATCAACCATCCACCAGCTACCCTTTTTCCCGGAGACAGCACTCTCGGCTGGGAGCCACTCATCTAGTGCAGTTCTCGATGCCACCCCCGGACCGGGTGGTGGCGGTAGTGGTGGCGGCTACTTCGTCGCACGACCCAACGCGGCGAGCAGGGCTAGTTCCAACAGCAGCGGAACCGTGACCCCCGTCGAAGGAGGGCAGCGGTCCCCCCGGCCACCGGGCAAATCGATGGTGCACTATTCCACGGGCCTGCGGTACCGCCGGAGAAGTATTTCCGGACCGAACACGGGCGTTCAGTTTTTGCAGCCTTGAAGCTCTGGTCTGACGTCTTGTAGTAGGAGTGTTTGATATGTATAGCATTCAGGGTGACTATTAGGGTGACTACTCGGTCATAAAGGGTCCTACTCCATAGTCTTGGAGCCATTCGTTATTTTAGGTTGGATACATGGGAAAATTTGTGTCATATGTCCTAGTCAATTAGCCTGCGCACTCTACTAGTCTATCAACTTCGTGATTATGCATATATGAAAGCTTCTTTCACTTAAGCTTCAATCCGCCAAAACAAATCAGATTGTAACTGATGATGATCTTCTTTCTCATTATCCTTATCCCCAGATCATAGACATTGTATAGTGTAGTATAAGTTATAGTATATGGACAACAACAAAAAGATGGAATCAACAACGCTTCTGATCGATCAAGCACACCCACCGCTGCAAATGGATCCAAACTCCTTATGACTTCTTCACTCCAAGGGAAGCCCCACCAAAGCCGAGCAATCGCACACACGAACAACTAGAAAAGCTTACTCTCTTTTCGCCCTTTCCTTGCGTTCTACCTCTTCCATCTCAGCCAGGACCACCCGGTTGAACTCCTCCCACCCATCGAGGTAGACGTGATGCCCGGAGTTCTTGATGATTACCACCTTGGCAGAGCCATTGTCCGCCTCGCGCTCTTCCGGCGTCGCATTCCGGAGGGCCCGCTCCTTTTCCTCGTCTAACTTGGCTTTGGCGGCGATGCCACCCTTCACGTCCATCCAGTCGTGGTCTCCATACATGAACACCACGGGGAGGCCGATTTCGCGCTTGGCCGAGGGGGATTGTGACGAGGACGAGGGGACAGCAGCTTCAGATGCTGCGGCGGCCTTGGTAGAGTCCAGGAGGGTGGACGCGGGGGATGGGTTCTGCTCGATGTATTGCCGGCCGACACCCTGAATGCGACGGATCAACGGGCTGCGGGCGAATGCACCGGGCGCCAGGATGTAAGATAGAGCGTATTCACCACTACCACGGAGGCTGAAGATCGAGTAAGAGTAGTCGTGCAAGGCCTTGGCTTCGTCTGCCGGGAGATGGGAGAAGCGGCGAGAGGTCCACCCGGAGACCAGGCGCGGGCCGAGGGGTCCCGCCCACCGCACCAGACTGAAGGGAGAGATGTTGGCATCCCAGAGATAGGCGAACCATTTCGGAACCAATCGGCGAGGAGGGCGGTCTGGGGAATCGGGAGGAGCACCTCTGAGGAGAATGTTGTTGTCTCCCTTCTGGATTTCCCCGGGCGCGACCGAGGAGGCGGATTCGGCGATAGTGCGTTGATTCTGCGTGAGCTCGTTCGCTACCGTAGAGGATTCGGGCATTTCTGCCTTCACTGCGTAGGGGTCTTCGGGAATGCCCACGGGTGAGGCGAGAATCAGCTTGTTCAGACGGCCTGGGTATTTGAGAGCGTAGGCTACTGCCATGTAGCCTCCCAGACTGTGGCCCATGAGGGTGAAGCGGTCAATCTTGCGCTTGACGCGCCATTCTTCCAAGGCGTCCACAAACCACGCCTCTGCTTCTTTGATGGCCTCTTCTCGCTCCTTGGCTTTGATGCGGAACGGTGGGCGTGTACTGCGGCCCATGCCTAGGAGGTCCAGCGCGTGGAGCTGCCAGCCTTTCAGTCGGCTGAGGGGTTCAAAATTCTTGTAGAAGAAGCCCAGGCCGGCTCCATAGCCGTGAACCATGACCAAATGCTGGTCCACATCCTCACCCACACGCTCGACAGAAAACTCGTTCAAAGCTCGATTCTTGCCGCTGAGCTCCACCATGCTTGAGCGCCACCGTCGCGGGCCATACGGATCGTTGGTGGAATTGATAGTGACATCGCCCTCCTCAGTGTGATCGGCGGACTGAAGACTCCCCGATCCGCCGTTGGGGACTGTGCTGGTCTTTCCGGTTTGGAGGTGTGTCGGGGGTTGGTGCTGAAGATAGGGTAGGTAGGAGAGGACTTTGTGTTCGGTTGTGGCAGCCGGTAATGACGCCCACTGTAGGAATACAATTGCGGTTCAGTGACCCTTGCCACAAAGCTTAAACACTGAAAATCACTTTGGTTGCTGCGATGAGGAACCTACCCATTGGCTGAAGCCCTCCCGGTAGCCCAAAGGAAACCAACCGGAGGGTGCAGGGGTTGCGCTTGCTCCGAGAGCAGCATGAGGAGTGCCGTCCCTGCGTTGGGGGCCGGATTCACTGTACTCGTTCTTGGACGAGTTGATTTGTTCGGAAGCCATTGAGGATGTCGATTGCCTGAACGCGACAAGGGTAGGCGAAAAGTAGATGCGAGGGGTATTGCGGGGAGTCCAGGATTGCAACGTGGAGGCCTGGAGGGGAAGGCAAGAGAGCCGCACGGTATACACCTTGTCGCTCAGAGAGATGGAGTGACAGAGGAAATATATCTCTGTCACTCGCGCGTATATGTCGAAAAAAAGAGCGGAGGAGGAAAGATGACGGAAATATAGGTTGGCCAGGGGTGGCTGATGAGTGATGACAGGTGGAGGCAAAGAAAAGAAAATGGTTGAGGCGACGCCAAAGACCGATAATTCCGACTCGGATGGAGTTAAGCAGTTCGAGCCCGCAGAAGATGACGAGTAGAGTGAGTAGGCTGCTATAATAAGACCATTGTACGCGACTCAGCTAGTCAGGTACTAAAGGTAATCTTGATGGAAACTAATTCAGGTTTATCGAGAAGGGAAGTTGTTGAAGATGGAGAAAAAGATGGAGGAGGTGGTTGTGGTGGAGCCTCAACGGCCAACAATTTGGCAGATGACGATTAATGAATGGGTTGATTGATTGCTTGCTTGCTTCCCATTTCTTCCCAGTCTTACCCTCCCAGCCATCTCCATCTCCATATCTTCCCCTCCCTCCAGAACTCGGTCTTTCTCGTTCATGCGATGAGATAGAGTAGGGCCGCAAAGGCCATTTCATTTTCCTGTTTCTGTTTTTGGCACCTTTTCCTTTCATCTGATCCGCGCGCCTGAATCTCGCTGCCCTGTGCTGTACTGTACTTACTGTACTTCCACAAGGGATCCCCCGATCTTCCTCCCCATCTGCAGCTGGGTTATCTCCCTCTTGCATTTTACTGCGTGCTTCGAGGACGCCATGGCTTCCGCCAGCCTCGATCAACTTGTCAAAGGCTCTTCAGCGACACAATCGTCCGACTCGTCGACTTCTGCGGCCGCCCCATACAATGGGACTCCGACAGCCGATGATACCTCTTCCTCTTCCCCGCCACGCGCGGCCACGCCCGATGCATACTCGAACCTGCCTTCATCCCCACCCCAGATATACCTTAATCTTCTCATACTGGAAAGCTCTTTGCGAGCCCAATATCTAGCCCTGCGTGAACGTCGAAGGCAGAACACCTTTTTCCTGCTGTTGCTGGCCATCTGGATTACCTATTTCGCCTACGCGCTCTTCCTCCGGCCCCGCGAGGATGGCCGCGGGGTGGGCGGATCGGTCTACTGGGTGGTCGAGATGGGCGAGAAGGTCGCTCTACTCGGAGGCGTGGTCACTGCCTTGCTGGTCTGGGGTACAGGACAATGGGAACGCGGGGTGCGGTGGCCGCGGCGCTGGCTCGCCGTGGCCAACCGTGGCCTCCGCACCATGAATACCAAAATCATCGTCCTTCGAGGTCCCTGGTGGCAGGAGTTGCTCTCGTACATCTCTTTCCTCTTTCCGTTCATCGATCCCTTCTCCCCTTCTCCCGTCGGGGATTTCCACTATATCGAGCGCCCTGTGTCCGAGAAACGCGGTAGTCGGCAGCACTATCAGCAGTATTACGGGCAGGACACAGAGTCGGGCCTTGTGCAGGAAGATCTAAGCCCAGGAGGTGACTACATCCGATTGCTCCTCCTCCCCAAATCGTTCTCTCCCGAATTCCGCGAGAACTGGGACGATTACCGCACCGACTTTTGGGAAAAGGAGAACGAGCGGCGCGCTCAATTGCGTCAGAAACTGCTCCAGAAAGAGCGTCAGATCGCCCAGCAGGACCGCGGCTGGTTCTGGTGGCTTGGATCCGGTTGGAAGACCTCCCAGCGTCGCCGACTCGCCGCAGCAACGCTCGGCCGATCCGCAGAACCCGGGCTCCAAACCCGTCACCACCACCACTCCAGTAGCTCCTCGAAACACGGTCTGGAGGCCAAATCCCCCGCGCGACGGGGGGCCCGCTCCGAATCGCACTCCCGAACCCCGTCCCGCAGCACTACTCCTGTAGACACGGACGAGCGGCCACCATCGCGATCGTCGATTGGCGGCCGGCCGCGCCGTGGCAGCCTGAGCCCAATCTCCCACCTAGATCACGCGCAACATCACCAACACCAACAGCAGCAGCAGCGCAAGAAGAAAAGCACCAAACCAATCACTCGCGGCCTCTCGCCATTGACCCAGGCACAAACCCGCGAGGGTGTACTGCGCACTCCATCCTTTTCATCCGAAGATTCCTCCTCAATGAGAAGCAGTACTCCGGTTGATATAAAATGAAAGCCAATCCTCAAAAAAAAGTGTAAAGGAATATACTGCAAATAAAGCAAGGGTGTCAGGCTTAGTTCTCCAGCTGGAAAATCCCCAACCCCAATCGCACAACATGTTTGTTAAATTATACCCCGTGGGCCATCATCCTCCATTCTCCAGCGCCATACCTCCTATTGTCTTGATGTAGACTTTCTTCTTCCTGTGTGTGTGTGTGCGTGTGTATCCTCTCTTCTATTCTTCTTCTATTCTATCGCCATATTTCTTCCCTCTTCACCCCAACACCCCCTCTACTCTTCCTTTTAATACCCTGTTATATCTCTATGTCTTTGTATTCATGTTGCCATTTGGATATCAAGGAAGGATGATGGAATGATTGAAACCTTGAAAGTAGAGTGAGTGAATAAGTAAAAACTTTGGACTCTTGTTTATTGTCTCTCAGCAGATGAGATGAGAGAGGAAATGATATAAATAGTACGAAAGCTAGAAAAGGGGCTGGATATAGGTACGTGCATAGTAACGATTTTGAAGGCCCGTTGGTGTGGATTCCGGATATAGGCGCTGCGTTGTCTACTACTTTGACTTGGAATGCGTACCCGGAACTTCTTATACATTAAGGCGAATTCGTTTGAGGCTGGTGTGATCTATTATGTGGAGTGCTCGATTGAGAGAGAGGTAGGATACCACTGGGTAGACTATACACATGATCACATATAGCTGTATTATCAATTCGATGATACATAGACTACTTCAAATTCTCAGCAACACAGCCGTAGTTACCCCCGAAAACGCCAGATCTTTCTTAAAATGTCGATTATGTAGATCAGAGTCACCGTGTAACAAAAAAATACCATGCACATACAACCCTGCTTGATTTCGTGACAACAACAGAACACCCCAGATTCTATGCCGAAAAGATCCTAAAGCGAATAGCTCATTAAATTCTGTAAACAGTTTCATCATCCTCGAGGTACCTGTATTCGTTGTTAGAGATCTAGTCCTATGATTTAACAGTGAACCATAGGGGGTCAGCTGGGACTTACATCAATTCGTTTCTCTCGTTCATAGCCCGCAGGGCCTGCAGGGCCTCCGGACGCTGGAAGACGTGGCCCTCGCCAAGTGAGGGGGCACTGCGAATAGCGGTATTGACCGCGCCAATAAGCTCCTCCACGTCGGCAGTGTCTCCGTGGGTAAACAAGCGGGTGCCCATCAGCGGGCCCAGAGCCTGGCGGAAGACCGTCAGACGGGCAGGCTGGATAGGCTGAGACGAAAGACTGGCGGTCTGCGACTGCGAGGTGTCCGTCTGAGACTCGACCAGCTGCGACGCCGGACGGGACGATGCTACGGACATCTGAGACTGGCTTTGCGACTCGGGCTGAGTCCGGCTGGAGCGAAGCCGCTGGCCACGGGGACTGGAGTTGTACAGGCCATCGCCATCCTCAGACACGTTGTCTCCCTCCGCATCCATCTCGGTGTCCTCGGTTATGGTCGAGACACCATTGGCACCGCGAGTTCTGATCCCGCCCCGTCTGGTAGATCGGGGGGTCGCGCTTGCAGTCTGTGCAGGGGTATCTTCATCCCCCTCAGAATCGGAATCGTCGCTTTCCGAGTCCTCGTCAAAAGTAGTGACCTTTCTCCTCTTCCGGCGCTCGTCTTCAAGCACTTCCTTGAACATGGCAAATCGCAGGATCGATTCTGCGACCTTGGCATCGCGTTCTTCCACTCTGTTCGAGAGGCGCGATTTGGCATGGGCTGTGGACAAACGAATAAGGGTTTCGAGAGTACGAGCGGTGATGGGAGACGTTCTGCGCTGGTTGCCGGCCAAATCGTCGTTTCTCAGCGCCGAGTAAGTCGACACAATGTGGTCGGCAGCTCCCTTGGTCAACACGGGCTTGACACGAGTCTTCGCGTATTGAACATACTTCTTGATGAAGGGAATGCTCAGGATCTCGACGTTCTTGTTCTTGCTCCGCTGGTTGGCCATGCCAGCATGTAGCATGACATTGAATTTCTCGTAGACATCAGTGGGATGGTTTGAATCCTGGTTGTCCTCTAGACCGACACCAAGGGTCTGATGCTGTTGTTCACGAACCGGTGCACCCTCCTCAGCGCCAGGCTGGCGGTAGCGGTGCATACGAAGGACGTGCTCGGAAACCATTCGGTCCTTAGCGTCTTCGATGTCGTCCGTCACAACAAAAAGCAAATCAAAACGCGACAAGAGAGAATCGGGCAAAGCGATGTTCTTATGTGGGTCCTTGTGAGGGTCGTATTGACCGTAGATAGGATTAGCGGCAGCCAGGACACTGCATCGAGCGTTCAGACTCGTATGGATACCAGCCTTTGCGATTGTGACTGTTTGCTGTTCCATCACTTCGTGAATAGCCACACGATCAACATCACTCATCTTGTCGAACTCGTCAATACAGACAACACCACGGTCACCAAGAACCATAGCACCGGCCTCAAGTCTGCGCTCACCAGTCTCCTTGTCAGAAGTGACAGCAGCAGTAAGACCGACTCCAGAAGATCCTCGACCCGTGGTTGCAATAGCAAGCGGTGCGGTATTCAGAACAAAGCGAAGGAGCTGTGATTTGGCAGTAGACGGATCACCGACCATGAGGATGTTGATATCACCACGCAAGTGAGTTCCATTGTCCAAATTCTTCTCCATGCCACCAAGCAGCATAAGCAAGATCGCCTTCTTGATGTAGTCATGGCCGTGAATACTGGGCGCGAGGGACTGAGATAGCAACTCAAACACGCTCTTCTTCTTAGCGACCTTGTTGATGTTTCGAATGTCGGTATCGGTGATGGTAGTTTGCGCGATGCCACCGCCTGATTTAGATGCCAGCTGGATGATGTTGTTGGCTAATACGAGCGTGCGAAAAGTGGCGGATGTGGAAGATGCGTTTCGGTTACCCAGAGTACGGTAAGTGCCGACAAGCTGAATTCTGTCTCCGGGTTTGGCTCGATCGACCAAGTCATCGTCCAAAATCACATCCACACTGCGCGGAAGTTGGCCAGCCGGTGC